TGATATTGGGTCTCAGAAATTTCACTTGTTGATTGATTTCCTCCAATCGGTCTCTTGTTCTAATCGGTTGTGTCTGTGATCAATTTAGGCGGATCCATTTTAACCACTCGTTCGTTGCATTTTTACAAATTCTTGAATTGGTCAAGGTTCGTGCTGCTGATTTCCTCGGATTCTAACTAATGGCTTATCGTTGCTGTGTATTGAAAATTTTCACCTTTTGTTTTGTTGCTGTTGCCTCAAGAAAGGGTACTATCTTTATGGTGATGGGGAGTTAGTTCCCTCCTTTGGTGAAAATTTGTTCAACCCAATTCGGTGATGGTGATGGATATATCAAAGTATTACCATCTCCTCACTTACTCGGCTCCCGCCTGGGCCAGCTTTATGGCCGGTGCTTTTATGCTTCTCACCCTCTCCCTTTCCATGTATCTTGTCTTCGATCACCTTTCTACTTACAAGAACCCTGAGGTTTCTCTCCCATTCTTGCCTTTTTTTGTGCTCGTTTACTTTACTTTTATCATCCATCTTCTCATTGATTTTCTGGTTTTCGCCTCTCTCAGGAGCAAATGTTTTTGATCGGAGTCATCCTCATGGTCCCTTGCTATTCCATAGAGTCGGTGAGTAACTAAGCAAGTCAGGTTTTCTGATTTTAGTTCGGGAATCTCATAAGTGTTGATGATCTCATATTGAATATTTACCTATATTGTACTCATCATTCAAGGGACTATGAATCTGTTCCACTAAGATATTTGATCCCAACCGTGTTTGTTTGAACAGTTTGCATCGCTTGTCAAACCATCCATCAGCGTTGATTGCGGGATTCTACGAGACTGCTATGAATCCTTTGCCATGTACTGTTTTGGTAGATACCTTGTTGCGTGCATAGGTATGGCCATTTTCACTGATTCATGTGTCAATTTTTTAATTTCTTGTTTTCTGTTATCTTGCCCCAAGGAACTAACAAGGTGCTTTTAGAGTGTAATTTCATCTTGTTTTCCATTATGGCTGCTGAGAGTTTTGACTTTGTATGTACTACTAGTTTCTGAAGCTGTCAATCATCTATCAAGTTTGTGTAAATAAGTTTATTATGTGTCATTCATTAGTATTGTCTGAGAAAGTCTGAACATTGCCATATCTTTTTGCTCTTCGTTTTCGTATTTTGAGTTTTGGGGAAGCTGTCAATTATCTAGGTTACTTTATGTGTGAAACTAGTTTCAATTGTCTATACATGTTCTCAACAGCTTTACACTTATATGTGGCTATCATTTTAGTTGATAAGACATCTCTCTAGCATTTGATAAGGTTCCATATTTTGTAGCTACCTGAGAAATTGCCTGCATTTTCATGTTTTTGATGGTCATATTATGATTCTTTGGGAAGCAAGGATTGTCACACACATGTGAATAACTTATTTTCCCCCTGTGATTTTGTTCTAAATTGATTTTCTTGTCATGCTAATTCTAACTTCTTTTTCAGGTGGGGAGGAAAGGACCATTGAGTTTATGGAAAGAGAAGGGCGTAAGAGCTCTAAGGCGCCACTATTAGATCACAATGAAGAAAAGGGAACAATAAAGCATCCTTTTCCTATGAATTATGTCTTAAAACCGTGGAGGCTTAGTCACTGGTTTTATCGAGTTGTTAAGATTGGTATTGTTCAATATGTATGTTTCTGACAAACGCTTGGTGTATCATCTTGTTTTTCTTGCTCCAGTAGTC